TCTTTATTTCTGAGTCCTGGCTCAACAAATCTGTAATGAATAATGACGTGGCAATCAATGGATTTAACATCTACCGCTGTGATCGTCAAAAAAGGGGGGGTGGAGTCATTATTTACATTAGAGATTCTCTGGTTTCAAGTCTTGTGACTTCCAAAACAATTCCAAATCAGTTTGAAGCCTTATCTGTAAACATCACCTTGAATGGACGCCAGATTTTAACTGTAGTCTGCTGCTACCGCCCCCCCACAGCTTCACCTGAGGCATTAAATGCCATTAAGGAATTCCTTGGTAATTTAAAATTCACAGAGGTATTTTTAGCTGGAGATCTCAACATTGATTGGTGTAAGTCGACCCCCCTCTGTGACAAATTCAAGGAATGTTGCTTGTCTTTTAATTTATCCCAACTGATCGACTCCCCCACCAGATTAAATAAAAGCCATCCTGACAATTCCTCCATCTTAGACCTGTTTCTAACTAATGTGCCTCACAAATTCCCTGGTACAGGTGTATTCGCTGATCTTTTGAGTGATCATTGTGTGACAGCGGCTTTAAGAAATAGTAAACTTCCACCTTCTAAGCCCAGATTAATTAAAAAAAGGGATCTGAAACATTTCTGTGAACAGTCATTCCTCTGGGATGTGTCTCACTTTGACTGGCATCGTATTCTGTTAACTGATGATGTGAACTCTGCTTGGAACTATTTCCATAATAATTTCATTTATTTCCTGAACTTACATGCTCCTTTTCGTCAGTTCAGAATAAAGGGACGAGACAGCCCCTGGTTTACTCCAGAGCTAGCTGACCTCCTGCACAGGAGAGATCATCTTTGGGCTGCAGCGAGAAAATCTGGCTCAGACACTGACTGGTTGAGTTTCCGACAGATGAGGAATAAATGTACAACTTCTGTCAAAGCAGCAAAACGAAACTATTTCTTATCTCAGACTTCCAAAAATCTAAATGACCCCAACAGATTCTGGAAAACAATTAAATCTCTCTCAGGCACCCCCCAATCATCTGACCCCCCATCACAACTTCTCGTTAACTTTGTTCCTGTGTCAAATAAGCACGAGATCCTGAACTGTTTCAACAAACATTTTGTTGCTTCTAGTTCTTTATTTGACACAGTAACTAATGGAAGATCAGCCACTTCCCCTAATAACCAAACTTCTACAAATCAAATCCCTCCTACAAGTCAATCCTCAGTTAATCACAGCTTCTCTTTTTCTCCATTCTCAGTCAGTGAGGTCAATAAACTGTTAAAAGATCTTGATCCTAAAAAATCTGCAGGTCCAGATGAACTTCCACCTTATTTCTTAAGGCTGGCTGCTCATATCATCACAGTCCCTGTGACCCACATCTTCAATCTCTCCATAGGACAAAACTCCATCCCAGACACTTGGAAAACAGCCTTTGTTCTTCCTTTGCTGAAGGGAGGTGACCCCACCTCACTGAACAACTATCGACCAATCTCTAAACTCTGTATTTTAGCCAAGGTTCTAGAAAAACTGATAAACTCTCAAATCAAAAATTACCTGGACTCATTTAACATCTTACCTCCACATCAATCTGGTTTCAGGAAACAACACAGCACAACCACTGTTCACTGAAGGTTCTTAATGACGTTGTTGAAGCACTGGATGCTAAGGATTATTGTGCTGCACTTTTCTTAGACCTGTCTAAAGATTCTGACACTGTGGATCAGAACATCTTGTGTCATAAACTCTCAGAAATCGGTTTCTCAGATCACACCATTGGTTGGTTCTCTAACTATCTTTCAGACCGGAGGCAATGTGTTCAACATAATGGTACTTCCTCCAGTTATTTAACATTCAACAATGGTGTACCACAAGGCTCAGTCTTAGGACCCACCCTCTTTACAATCTACATACATAATGTAGGTAAAAACATCCCTAATGCATCCATACATTTCTATGCTGACGACACAGTTGTTTATTGTCGAGCTAAAACTGTTGCTAAGGCTTTCCAGCTTCTGAAATCTGCATTTAACATCATCCAGACAGATTTGTTCCGCCTCAAACTTGTCCTAAATGCCGAAAAAACCAAAGGGATGCTTTTTTCAAATAGGAAGTTGGTCCCAGCAGTTCTTCCTCCGATTTTATCCTCAAATGGTGTCCCCATTGAGTTTGTTGATTCCTATAAATATTTGGGTATCTTGGTCGACTCACATCTTTCTTTTAAGCTCCATGTGGAAAACTTGATAAAGAAACTGAAAGTTAAACTGGGTTTCTTTTTCAGAAACAGATCCTGTCTAACCCTGAATGCTAGAAAACGCCTTGTATCTGTGACTTTCCTTCCCTCAATTGATTTTGGTGATATTATTTACATGAACGCTCCTACAAGAACCCTGCAGATGTTGGATGCTGTCTATCATGGTGCACTAAGATTCATAACTGGCTGTGATTATCGTACCCACCACTGCACCCTGTATTCACTGGTTAACTGGACATCATTAACTTCACGCAGACTCTCTCACTGGTACATTTTCATCTTTAAATCACTTCTTGGTCTGCTGCCTTCATACATCTCCTCCTACATGTCTCTGTGTGAGTGCAGCTACGGAGTGCGTTCTCAGGACATTATTACCTGCAGTGTTCCCTCAATGAGGACTGAACTAGGCAAAAGGGCCTTCTCCTACTCCGCTCCTGTTTCCTGGAATATCTTACAAAAAGATTTGAAGCTCTCGACCTTTGACCTCTCTAAGTGTCTTTAAGAATCTGTTGGACTCCTGGCAGGGACCAATGCAGACATGTTCCTGTTTTTAGTTTTATACATTTGTCTTGGAATCTAGCTGGTTTTTTTTTTTGTTTTGTTACCTTTTTCCTTTTAGCCATCCTATTTGTTAAAAAAAAAAAAAAAAAAACTGTAGTATGAGTTTTTATAACTGTTTATTGTTGTTGCTGTTGTCCATTGTTGTCATCTTTCTTTGTTGAAATCAGGTCTCTCTTGTAAATGAGTCCTCGAGGCTCAATGGGATTTACCTGTATAAATAAAGGTTGATTGATTATGCTTGAACAAGGTGTTCGTTATTGACAATCCATGACGAGCACAGAGCGCTTCTGTTTATACAGGTTTTATTTTAGCACAATTTCCATTTAGTTTTTTACTTCCATGTAAAACGTGCTGGGATCTTTTGGTGAAGAATAAAAGACAAGGAGACATTTCCTGAGGTCTTGGAGAGCCAGCACCAAGAGAAGACCCTGCTTCTGCGAGGAGCTGCCTTCAAATTTATTTACAGTTCACAAGAAACGGGCATCATTTTCAACACCGTTTACACATTTCACATTAACGTCGTCATTATTCCTCTTCTTTATTTTCCTGTCTTTGGTTTCCCAGGATCTTCACTTCACTTGAGGAACACTTCTCTTCCACACAGGTTGAATTTTCATATAATAAACTCTCGTAAAAAATAATCCAAGCTTTCCTTTAACTAAGGTGCAACAGTCTACACAAATCTTTCACTCTGATCAAACTTATACAAAGTTAGATTTGCTTAATTCAAAATACAAAATAAACTCAAACCTAAGCTTGTTAAGTTTACCAACACTTGTTCGTTTTTCTTTATTCAATTTCATACCATGGTTTAAAACTAGCCCAGCCTTGTGAGTCGCATGGATGATGGCTAGCTGAAGGCATGTGGAGTGAACTCATCTTCTTTAGTGTTTCTGAATGAAAGCAGAGACGGGATCAGCAGAGACGGGATCAGCAGGTCAATGCTATATTGTTGTGACGTTTTTGAACAAACTACTGGCAGAAAAAACTCCTGTCTTTGCATTGTCTAAAAAATAATGTATAGTATTTTAAAAGCTGTTTGGTTGGTGCACAGGACGTACAAGGTGCTGGAAGTCCTCGTCAAACTGAAACCTGTTAACCTCTGAAGACAGAGGAGGAACAGAACAGAAACAGCCTTTATTGTCCCAGAGGAAGAGCCCACAACAGGAGCTGTCAGGAGTGAGCCACCCATGGAACAGGGACCAGACTAATTCCTGTAATTCCAACTTCCATTAACAAAACCTTTGCTTTGTTCGTTGCTTTCAAGTTTCATTGTATATCAACAGTTTTTAAACTTGTGCTAGCACTTCTTTATTCATAAAAAGTGCAGAATGGTAACTACCACAATGTGAGAACATTGCCAAAAGTTAATTAATAAAACATTTGGAACAAGGCTGGCTCTAATGACAGCACTACATGTTCTCACTACAGCCAAGGTCCCATTTACCAGAACCAGTTCAGTTCAGGCTTTAGACTGTGCGCCCCCTTGTGGACACAATTATCAGCACCTTCATCCAATACGCCCTTTGATCTGCGTCAGTGCACGTGTGTTTCAGGGTGGAGAACAGTTCTTGAACAAGAGTTCCACATATTGTAGTGTAGATGACGCACAGTCACAGCGTTACCTTTTTCTGAAGGTCCATATAAACGGAACATTTAGTGGAAGAGAGTGAAAACTGAAAGTAAAGCTCAACGTCCACCATGTTTCCTGAGGGACACTCGTCTTCAGTCATTTCATGCAGCGTGTCGTCCTAAAGGTCATAAACAACCTCCACTTTCATTTGCTGCATCCAAGACAGGAAGAGAACTTCTCTTACTTATGAACAAAAACAGTACTTTGTGTTGGTCTCTAGGGAAGAGTGTAGTTTGAAGAGTGTAGTTCGACGGGTGTAGTTTGACGGGTGTAGTTTGACGGGTGTAGTTCGACGGGTGTAGTTTGATGAGTGTAGTTTGTCAAGTTGAACACAATAAAAAGATAAAAAGACAGAACTTGCTGCCGTTTCACACTCGTTCTGACGGAAGACCCTGAGTGAACCTACACGCCTCTTTCATGTTCTTGGCTTCAAACTGGATTATTTATTCTAAACTGAGTTAGACAAACCAGCCCCGTGAGTTTTGGCATCAGTAGTCTTACCCTGCCTTTTGAACCTTGGGACGTTTAGGATTAAATCCCAATACCAGTGATGAGTACGGTACAGTAAAACTTGTGTTCATTTATCTCCGTCTCCACAGAGTCGTTTTTCGTATTGGTGCTTGGTGATGATGTTTTTGAAGAACTCGTACACGGACCAGCTGATGGCCGTGGAGGGCATCTGGTAGATGACTCTGGCCTGGACGCCTTTAAAGAAGGCTGGCGTCCCTCCCATCCTGTACACAGTCCGAAAAGCCTCACCTAGGCCAGAAATGTGGCGACCGTCAGGGCCCACAGCCGCAGCTGCTCCAACCGCTCCGCCTGCTGCCCCGGCATGGACCACATGGACAGCCAGAGCCTCCTGGGTGTTGAGGAGGGTCTTGCAGACGTCAAGGGGAGTGGTGGCAGCAGCCGCCAGGGCTCCAGCAAGTGCACCAGACACAACGTGGGAGGAAGGGTTGTACTGTCTGTGAGGGTTGAGGAGCTCCTGGAGGTACTCGTAGGTCATGAAGTGGAGCGCCTGGAAGGGCACGTTCATCGTCAGCTGGGTGGTGTAGCTGCGGTAAAAGGCTGCAGGGCCCTCACGTCTCAGTAAAGATCCCATACAGTCCAAAACACCACGATAAGGAGACTTGAACATCTGCATACGCTGCTTTACCACTACACAGGGATAAAAGGGATGTTGGAAGGTGAACAATAAAAATTATTTAGAGTAGAAATAAAACAGAAGACGGCTAAAATAAAGAAACGTACGGCTGAGAGTCACTGTTTCAAGAAAACACTGTCTCAAAAATCATTTGACAACAGAAAAACAGGGGGACTGTATGAGAAACATCTCAAATAGAATAAAGTCCATGCTCAATAATCCAGGGATACAATCCAACATTTTTCAGTCAGGTCATCTGGACAGTTTCTTTTTTTGTGCTGAAACGTTTCACCTTCCATCCAGAAGGCTTCATCAGTCAAGGAAACATACAACAAAACTGATTCTTCCCCCAACAGCTTACTCCAAAGTGGAACAAACCAGTTCTGCTTGTGATAAGATGGTCTCTTAGGTACGCCCCTCCTCCATTGCCGACCCTCTTCTTTGTTCACAGTCTTGTCAAACTGGTTGAAAACAACTAAGTCCAAAAAGACCATCTTATCACAAGCAGAACTGGTTTGTTCCACTTTGGAGTAAGCTGTTGGGGGAAGAATCAGTTTTGTTGTGCGTTTCCTTGACTGATGAAGTCTTCTGGATTGAAGGCGAAACGTTTCAGCACAAAAAAAGAAACTGTCCAGGTGACCTGACTGAAAAATGTTGGATCTCTAAAATAGCTTCCTGCAGGGTGTGCAGTGAAGTCTAAATCTTTTCTTCCTTTAAGTGCTTGTGACATTAACATTTTCTAACATATACAGGTATATAAATGCATTTTTGAAGATAGTATTATTTTATTAGTATTATAGTAGTATTTTGAAGTAGTATTGGGAGAAAAAAAACCCACGATAAACAGAGACCAGGTAGTTCCCCACCCTTTTTTAATTTACCTTTGGCATCACTTTCTGTTTCACGCAGGCTGCACCAAGTTCAACAGAAAATGTGCCATTTATGTGACAAAATGGGTAAAATAATGTGCATTATGCAAAAGTATTAAATATGAAGATGTTTTCTTTCCACTTTTTTTACTCCAATTAGAGTTTACTAGTATTCCCAGGCCCAGTCTCTCATCGTGTACTAACCAGGCCCGACCTGCTGAGCTTCTGAGATCAGACGAGACTGGGCGTGTTCAGGGTCGTATGACCGTAAACTAGTGCGAGTAGGTGTCTCAAATACAGAAGGTGTACCTGGGGGGCCACATCTGATTGGACAAAAAAAAACAAGGCGTTTGTGTTAACCACAGACATATTATGTCTATGATGTTAACTGGTTCGACATTAGCAGCGTCTCCATAACTTCTCTTTCCACCTCTTGGCACAGAACTTCCTGTTACATTTCAAAATAAGAGCAACATAACTGGGTAGTGGGCAGGGCTACGTTTATTTTTTTAATATCTAGTAATAACATTAAAAAACAAAATCCATTTTAGTTGTTGAATAATGTGAAAATAGTTACAATCAATTCATAAAGAAAGAAAAATAAAGTAACCAAAATATTAATGATACTTCAACTGTCTTTGTTTCCTTTAACTTCATTTTCTTGTTCAACTCTTAAATCAGTCCCTGCAGATGAGTGATGGTCAGTTTCTGCACCTGGAGCAGGTATTCTGTTTACTGGTTCACTTCCTCAGCTGTCTCAGGTTTTAAGGCTCAGTCCTTCTCCATGTTTCAGCTCCTTTCACAGATCAGGTCTCATAGAAGAACTTCTAAAGAACATTTGGTTTTGAGCCGTTATCTCATCACAGGACTCCTGATCTTTAATTGAGACCAGACTTTTTGACAAATGGAGCAGGTTTCTCTTCAGATGCTTCAGATTTGATTGTACCCAGACCAGACTCAGGCCAGCCTGTGTCAGGTGCAGCTACAAGGACTAAAGAGACTCTTCTTGTGTTTGACAGCAGAGATAACGCTGCGTCTTGGGCTGCATTCACACCAGCCCTGTTTAGTCCGCTTTAATCCAACTCCAGCTCGTTTTCCTAGAAAGTCTGGCTCGTTTGAGGAGGTGTGAACGCGCCATCGAACTCTGTCACGGAACAAAAAGGCGAACTCTGGCCCGGGCTAAAACCTAGGTCTGGGTCCGGTAGAAGAGAACTCCAGTGGTTCCAGTACAGTGTGAATGTAAACAGACCGGACCCGCTCCACAGGTAAACAAACACACATTTCTCTTATATGGAGCCGTCAGCTGACTTGTGTGGAAAACAATATTCTCCATGGTCTTCAGTCTCATCTTCTGCTCATGCTGAGTCCATTGTTGAAAAATGACTAAATATAACTCCTAAAACTGATAAAACTTGATGCCACTTCGTTTTTATTTTTATTTACAGCAGAAGAAGAAGACGTGTCTTCAGAGTTTTTGTGTTGTTTCTTTCAGTAGTTCTTGGTGCAGCGCCCCCACAGGCGAGCGGGGGAACAGGTTGCTTCAACAGGTTGCTTCAACAGGTTGCTTCAACAGGTTGCTTCAACAGGTCGACTCGACTGCACAGCGCAGTGTGAATGCAAACGCACCAGCTCAAATGTAACAAAAGGTCATGAATATTGGTCCCCAACCCAGTCTACCGGACTATCTGGTGTGAAAACAACCTAAGAGACCTTCAGTTTTAATAAAGATCTGATGTAACTTACCTGAAGAGCAGCAGAAACAGCTGCCGGTCAGTGTCTGTCCTCTATAAACGCCCACTTTCAGTCTGCAGAGAACCTCTTCTCAACTAGTGTGTAAATTAGTGGCAAACAGTGGTCACTGTGTTCCTGGTACATTTTGTGTGTTAAATTACCATCTATACTAACAGCAGGTGAAGCAGATGGTCCTCTTGTCCTGATCCTGGTTCTGCTAAAGGTTTCTTCCTCATGAGGGAGTTTTTCTTTCCACTGTCGCCTTCATGCTTGTTCAGGATGAGAGTTCAGTGATGGAGTTAAACTCAAAGCTGCTCCTCACATAAATAATGTTCAATTATTATTTTTATGTTTGGGTGTTTCTGTTCAGTCCCTGAGGCGACTTCTGTTGTGACTTGGAGCTGAATAAATAAACTGAACTGAATTGTTGGTCAACAACTTGTGATTAATACTTTTTTTAGATCATATTGTGAACTCCATTAGGCTTGAAAATATATAAATCAGTGTTTGTCCATGTAAAAAACAAGATGCACTCAAGATATTGATAGTTGTTTTCTAATTGCTCAGGAGACCTGGAGTAAATGATCAATAGGCTGCAGTGATCTGGAGAGTAGAGCAGGTTGCAGGATATTTCAGGTGTGATGGGTTAAATGCACAGAACTAATTGACATAGCATTCATTATAAATAGACCAGTGTTAGGCGTTAACTGTGCGCTGTGCATGTGAGGTGAAGTTTGTACCTTCAGCTGGGTTCATGATGGCGTCGTGCAGGACGGTGGCTGCACAGCCTGCCACTCCTGCAGAGCACAACAGTTTAAAGGTCATGATGCCGTCATGTCTGCCTCTAACAGGAACAGCAACTATACGTCACTCTTGACTCGACTTTCTTTCAGTCTGTCGTTCAAAGCTCAACCTGAGCATCGTCTCACCGTTTGCAACGTGGCTGTTGGTGCCGGGGTGAATCGCACCGCTGAGAGAGAACTTGATTTTCTCGTAGCAAGCAAAGTAAAGAGCATGGGCAGGCCCCGCCCCCACCGCCAGCACGTTCACACCCCTGATTGGTCGCCACACCCCCTCGGTTCGTACAATCTGACGCAGGGCGTCCATCACGTTCCTGTAGCGTGCTCCTGGATCTGGCTGCAGGCTCTGCATGCGAGTCTGGGTAAGAAACCACACAAAGTGATGAAGAGCAACAATTAGGATTAGTTTAAGAACTGGCAGAACTCTGAGTCTTAATCTGCTGTCTGTGCTGATTCATGAAACGCTGACGGGTCTGTAAAAGTCCAACAGATAACTTTATTCTGTTGAGTACAAAAAGAACTAACAAGAAAGAAAAGACTGGCAGAAAAACATATTGGAGTTCAAATAAACTGATAACCTTATGAGATACGCAGGACTATCTGCTGAGAGACAGTCAGTCTGTGTGTGAAGAAACAAATACCAGCTCAAAGGAACACTCTCTAACCTCAGAGACATGTCCACAGATCTGTCCCCACAAAGGACAGCAGGAAGCAACAGTCCCACCTGACGCCTGTCAAAGCTGATCAGCAGCTGGAGACAGGACTAGTGTGTTCAGTGCAGGGATCACTGTCCTCACAGGAGCACAGCAACCAGTGGATCTTGTGAAAATAATTCATGCACCTCTTGTCTGGCTTGACTTTTATTCCTCTGGTTTGAATCATTTAACATAAAACACATTTTTGTGGAACCAACTTCCAATCTCTGTCCGTGAGGCTGACACATTGTCCAGTTTTAAAACTAGGCTTAAGACTTTCCTTTTTGCTAAATCCTATAGTTAGGGTCAGCTTGGGTTTCCTGAGCTGTCCCTTAGTTCAGCTCCTATAGACTTAGACTGCTGGAGGACAAACTGACCACACTCTTCACTCTGCTACTGTCTTTACTTACTCTGCTCAACCTGGTTTGTATTTGTAATTATTTCTATCCCTGACATGTGGTTTTGTCTTTCTTCCAATAGAGGACACCTGCACCTACACCTGCACCTACACCTGGACCTACACCTGGACCTACACCTGGACCTACACCTGCACCTACACCTGGACCTACACCTGGACCTATACCTGCACCTACACTACACCTGCACCTATATCTGGACCTACCATTCTGTGTTCGTCTGTCTCTCCTTCCTGTCCTCTCAACCAGCCGGTCAAAGCAGATGGTCTCTTGTCCTGAGCTGGTTCTGCTGGAGGTTTCTTCCTGTTAAAGGGAGTTTTTTCTTTCCACTGTCTCCACTGTGCTTGCTCAGGATGGGAGACTGTGACAAAGTGAAGATTCAACAAGTCTGCTGGCTTTCTTAGATAGATTCATGAGTCTAACAGCCTCAGGGTAGAAGCTGTTCCTCAGTCTAGTGGTTCTACACTTAATGCTCCTCAACCTCCTTCCTGAGGGGAGCGGGGCAAAAAGTGTGTGTGTGCTGGGTGAGTGTGGTCCTTCATGATGCAGGTGGCCCTCTTCCTGCATCTGGAGGTGTAGATGTCTGTGATGGTGGGGAGGCTGACTCCAACATCTTCTGTGCAGCCTTCACCACTCTCTGCAAAGCTTTTCTTTCTGCAGCTGTGCAGCCTCCATGCCACACGTTGATGCTGGAGCACAGGATGCTCTCCACTGCACACCTGGAGAAGGAGGTCAGGACTGAAGTACTAATAGCTGGAGAACACTTCCACCGCAGATCCTCCTATGTTCCGTGGTGGTGGTGGTGGTGGTG